AAGCTAACCAGGGCAGGTCCTGCTTAGCTTCCACGATTAGACACGGTTTTGTGCCCATAGACATTAGGTATTGTTGTTGTGTGCTGTCAGGTAATTTCCATCTTATGATGACCCTAAGGCAAACATGTCATGTGCTTTTCTTTAAGAGGAGGTTTGGTTTTCCTTTGCTTCCCTCAGAGTCTGAGATAATGTGACTGGCCTAAGGTCACCCATTGGCTTTCCATAGTTGAGTGGGCATTCAAAACCGCATTTTCAGACTTGTGGTCCATTGTTCAAACTACTAGAACATTTTAAAAAAGATATAATGAAATAGTGCAGAATATGATACAACAATTCATCCTAGGAACCAAGTTACAGGCAGTCCCTGTATTTGTTCATAAGTTGAATTTGTTTGTAAGTCATATTTGTATGTAAGATTTGTTCATAAGTTGAATTTGTATGTAAGTCGAAACAGGTACATTTTAAAGTGTTACTCCAAAGTGTGTGTGTGTGTGTGTGTATGTGTGTGTGTACACACACACACACACACACATATATACACACACACACATACATACATACTCTGGATATCACAGGGAATGGTTAACACCCCTGTGGTGTTTGTTTTGCTCTCTGTGCCCCTGTTCAGAAGATTTCACCTCCCTTTCTGTCCCTGTGATAACTGGATTTTGAAAATATTGTTGTGGAAGCAAGGATTCGTGAGAAAGCCTTTTCCCCAGGATAACTCTTTCAGAATTGAATTTTCCTTCTGAGGGGTAGGTTTCTCGCACTTCCTGTTTTTTCACCCCCGTTCTTAAGTATGAGTTGTTTGTAAGTTGAATATTTGTAACTTGGGGACTGTATAGTGTATAGTGATTATCCATTGGCATAAAGCTGATATTTAAAAACCAGCCCATTTCATTTTGTTAGGTGCATACAGCATGTGATTTCTGGGAGGATTGTCTTTGCCCCCAGACATTATCTTGGGCAAGGGCTTTCCACCTCAACTTTTCTGCTTAGAAATTTCTGCCTCATTTCCACTGGCCAACTATCTTAGACTCTATGTTAACTAAGAGGGACCTTTAAGAACTTGTCCAACAGTCACCTTGGGGTTGAATACTGAAGAGAACGATTGGTAGAGGCTTGACAGGTTGCCCTTGGGAAAGCTTTTGTGCCATTTTTGATCTTGTCAGTGAAGATCCGTTAGACCAGTTTCCAATTTGTGGTGCCTGCTGCTCACAAGATGAAGAGGGGAATTGCCATTGCTTTGAGGAAGGCAGTGAAACCCCCCTATGAGCAATGACAGGAAAACTCTTTGTTCGGTTGACTTCAGAGTAACCATAAGTCACAAACAACTTGAAGACACACAACAAAAACAACAACAACAATGTTTAATAGAGGGTGAACCTTCGGGTCTATTCATAGTGTTCCTTGGCATGCAGATTGTCCACAGAGTGATAGCAAGCCATGGCTTGTGTCCTTTCTTCACAATTAGAACTGTGCCTGGCAGACTAGAAATGCTTTTGCCTAGAGATATCACATCTGTGGCAGCCAAGAAGCTGTGTGGTGTGGTGAGTCGTACTCAAGGTATTCAAGTCGCACTCTGAACAGACTCAGAAGTGGAGTGGGCAGATCAAAAGCCAACCTGGCAAAATGGTACTACTTAAAGGAGTTCCCCACCATGTGTAACAGTTGAGCAGAACAGACAGCTCCAAATCTGTATGCTTGTCCACTATGTCCTGCCTCATGTACAGAAGAAGAATGGCTGGAGGCTACAGTCAGTGCCGTTGCTGTTGCCCGTTTGTGGTCAAAAGGTATTTAGCTTCTTGTGATCCTTCTATTTTTATCAGTTTTATACTAATTTATGCAATCTTTTGATACGAAATAAATAAAAACGTAAGGCAGTTGAAATCCATTGCTCCAGGTCCTAGGCTGCATCTACACTGTGTAATTAATGCAGTTTGACACCACTTTAATGGCCATGGCACAATACTATGAAATCATGGGAGTTGTAATTTAACAAGATCTTTATCATTGTCTGCCAAATAGTGCTGGTGTCTCACCAAATTACGGCTTTATGATTCCAAAACATTGAGCCATGGCAGTTAGAGTGGGGTAAAACTGTGTTAGTTCTATAATGTAGAGTTAGCCATAATCTCTGAACAGCAGAAAACAAGCTTTCTCTATCATGAATATGGCATCTTTTCCCCCATGTATAAGTCAGATTTGGTATCTTTTCTCTTTCTAAGGGTGAGCCCTTATTGTGGTTTAGGCCTCACACATCCCTGGGTTTTTTGGAGATAAACCAAGAGATTTCAGGTGATGGATGCGGCCTCTTTCCCATCTGCGTACAGAACATCTCATATAAATCAGACCCTATCTTAGCCTTTTAATGGTCTTCTCAAGAGATTTAAACACTGAAGGGGACGACGACGAAAGTCTTATTTGTGATGCTGAGTCATAGGCATTGGTAAGACTTGCTTATCTCAGCACAAAGCGGCTTGAGTGGATTTCTTGTTGATTTAAGGATCTATTGATTTCCATGGGATCCCATTGCATATCGGTGTATATGGGATTGGATCAGTGGGCTTCTCTATTTCTGTGTGCCTTGCCAGATGGAAGTGGGGACAGATCACCATAGCACCCCTTTTTCATCCCTGACATCTTGGTTTAATGGCATTTTGCACTTCAACAAAAGAAAGGAATGAAGAAATTGAGAAGTTACAGATAAGAAGGAGGGATTTGATTCCTTTGTGAAATGTGAATGAACTTCTCACTGGCTCAGGTGGATCAAGCTGCAAATGAAAATGTGCTGGCAGCTGAAAGGTTTCGTACGAACACACTTCTCCATCAATTTCCATACTGCTGGTCAATTTTAGATGGTCAGCTTGTTAGCAAGGGATTATGTAGTTATTTAAACCCTGATCCAAATAGAGGAGGGAAAAAGGTTGACTGGGCTATTTTTTTTATGCCAATGAGAATTTCAATGTATTGTATGGCAGTATTTGGGTGTGTAGATTAAGAGTGTCCCAAAACCAAGCACAAGGAAACAAATGTTGACCTCTTTTGGGTCATTTGTTCAGGATAGCTGTCAGATTGCACTATTTTTTGTATGAAAAAATATGTAATCAACACAAATCCAATAGATGGGATAAATTTTTGGTCTAGTTCTTTTTTATCTTAAAAGTACTATTTCATTATATAATACTCCCCTCTATAGATCACTCCTCCTTCATCAGGTCAGTGCATAGCCTGTGGGTAATATGCAGTCTTCAGTGTCATTTTTGGACTCTTAGTTCACTTTGCTCTGGAATGTTCTCTAGGAGGTTTGTGGAACACTTTTACTGTTTTTTATTCCTCTGTAATGAAAGTAAAGGTAAGGGTTTCCCCTGACATTAAGTATGGCCGTGTCTAACTCTGGGGGATGGTGCTCATCTCCATTTCAAAGATGAAGAGCTGGCATTGTCTGTAGGCACCTCCAAGGTCATGGAGCCCCCTTACCTTCCTGCAGAAGTGGTACCTATTGATCTACTCACATTTGCATGTTATCGAACTGCTAGGTTGACAGAAGCTGGGGCTCACCCCGTTTACAGATTCGAACCGCCGACCTTCCAATCAGCAAGTTTTGCAGCTTATTGGTTTAACCCACTGTGCCACCGCAGCCCAGTTCTTCTGTACTATTTTAATATTCAATACTTTAAAAGAGGAAATAAAAGGCTTCTCCTGGCCTATAATGTCTAACAACATGGCAAAAAGGAGGTATCTAAAAAAGACAACAGGATATGGGGCAAATATTTTCAGAAACTGGGTGTTATAAGGAGATAAGCTGAGACTTCTGTTTTCTTCCCACAGCTGTCCACTCTTACTCTGTATACTTGCTGTTGTGTGCCTTTAAGTTATTTCCATCTTATAGGTGAAACTGCCCTTAAGAGATGCAAGCAGGTATTGTAGCTACTCATTGGGATTTTCTTGAGCTGAAAGTATGTCACTTGCCCATGGTTAGTGGAATCAAGCAGGGGAATCAAAGTTGTCCCAACACTCAAACCACTATGCCAAGATGGCTCTTGCTGTAGATAAGTGGTTCCCAACCTTTGGTCTTCCAGGTGTTTTGGACGTCAACTCTCAAAAATCTCAGCCATTTTACCAGCAGTTAGGTAAGCTGAAGTTCAAATAGGTGGAGGACCAAGGGTTGGGAACTGTTGCTCTAGATCAGTGGTTCTCAACCTGTGGGTCCCCAGATGTTTTGGTTTTCAGCTCCCAGAAATCCTAACAGTTGGTAAACTGGCTGGGATTTCTGGGAGTTGTAGCCCAAAAAACCTGGTAACCCACAGGTTGAGAACCACTGGCCGAGATCTTAGCATCACCTAATCTAGACCAGAGGAACCTGTGTGCTCCCCCCCTCCCTTTTATGTTGACCTTCATGTAGCATCAGCCCTAGCCAGTCTAGCCTGTGATGTGAGATTAATTTGACTCTTCCAGAAAAGCACGAGTTCTCCACTTGTGACCTAAAGATTACAACTCTAGGCCTATGATGAATAGTGGAACGTTCCGGAACATCTGCTTGCATTACTAAGGCGGTGGTTCTCAACCTGTGGGTCCCCAGATGTTTTGGCCTTCAACTTCCCAGAAATCCCAACAGCTGGTCAGCTAGCTGGGATTTCTGGGAGTTTTAGGCCAAAACACCTGGGGACCCACAGGTTGAGAACCACTGACTTAAGGGAATGACAGCAGGAATGGAAAGTATATGGCCCTCTGAATATTGCTGAAATGAAAACCCCAGCAATGCTAGCCAGCACGGTCAATGGTGAAGAATTCTAGGATTCGTTTTAATCCATACAAAGGGCTGCATGGCCCTTGGTCTAGGAGAATAATTATAGATTATTGCAAGCTGAGGGGTGAGTGAATAAGCCAAAGCTAACTCCATTTGACAATATAGCTAAACATCTTATCAACTACAATGTCTGCACTAATTTGATACCTCAATGTATTTCTAATTATCTTTTTTTAATGTCGTTATACAGGCTGAAGAAGTAGGACCCTTTCGACTGATCACACTGGGACTTTGATTCTTTTCCCATCACATTAGAGGAAGGTCTTTCTACACAGTGCAATCATGACTACTTCTGCCTTGCGCCGGCAGGTTAAAAACATTGTGCATAACTATTCTGAGGCAGAAATTAAAGTGCGTGAGGCCACTTCCAATGACCCATGGGGACCACCCAGCTCCTTAATGTCCGAGATTGCAGACCTGACCTTCAATACGGTGGCTTTTGCAGAAGTTATGGGCATGATCTGGAGGCGGCTGAATGATAGCGGCAAGAACTGGCGCCACGTCTATAAGGCACTGACTCTTCTGGACTACCTCATCAAAACTGGCTCAGAGAAAGTGGCTCATCAGTGCCGGGAGAATCTGTACACCATCCAGACCTTAAAGGAGTTTCAGTACATAGACCGTGATGGCAAAGACCAGGGCATTAATGTTCGTGAGAAAGTGAAACAGGTAATGAGTCTGCTGAAGGATGAGGAGAGGCTGAAGCAGGAGAGAGCCTATGCCTTGAAAACCAAAGAACGGATGTCCCTGGAGGGCATGGGTATCAGCAGCAGCAACAGCCAGCAGCTTTCCTATGGACGGCGGGCATCACAGTATGGCGATGACTATGGCAGGACAAGGGGATCTCCCTCCTCCTTCAACTGTGAGTAGCAGAGCAGCTCAACAGGAAGTAAGCTGCTTTTTCTCAGGTGGTTAATAGCACTGTGTGACAAAGCAATGGTTTAGCCACTAGGGGATGGTATCCTTGAAGTGACTGGCTTGACCTTGAAGGAGCTGGGGGTGGTGACGGCTGACAGGGAGCTCTGGCATGGGCTGGTCCATGAGGTCACAAAGAGTCGGAAGCAACTGAATGAATGAACAACAACAAGCCACTAGGGGCCTTCCAGACATGCCATATATGCCAGGATCTGATCCCAGGTTTTCTGTTTATCCCAGATTATCTGGAAGTGGAGGCTCATATAATCCAGGTTAAAGCAGAATATATGAAATCGGATCCTGGGATACAGGGCCTGTCTGGAAGGGCCCTGGGTGTCTGGATGAATTTCACATGGGTGTGTTTGTCATTTGTCAATGCTATTGGTTTCCTTGAGGTACAGGAAGCCCTTTATTGTTCTTGTGAGGCTTCAAGGCATTTCTAATTTATGGCAATCCTAAAGTGAACCTATTTGCAGTTAATTGCAAAGTCAACCTGAACTGATGGTAACCTTCCGGGTCAACCCTATTATCAACAGGTCTTGTAGACTCCAGGCCATAGCTTCATTGACTGTGTCTTTCCATCTGTAATACAGGCTTACTGTTTGCATACTGTCCACCGAGATTATCTTCTGGTCTAGTGAGACATCCTTTTTCACAATATGGACAAAGTATGATAGTTTCAGTTTGGTCATCTTGACTTCTAGGGAGAGTTGTTGTAGGACCCATTTATTTGTCTTTTTAGCAGTCCACAGTATCTGCAGAACTCTTCTCCAGCACCACATCTTAACATGAGCTAATTTTCTTCCTATCAGCTTTTCTTTCTATCATGGGATTTCCTTGACAAGATTTGTTTTCAGAGCTGGGTTTTTTTTTCCCCTTCAGAGTCCAAGAAGGTGTGACTTGCCCAGAGTCACCAAGTGGGGTTTCATGGATGAGCAGGAAATCAGACCCTGATCTCCAGAGATATAATCCTATGCACAAACCATTATGCTGGCTCTCACAAGAAGCTGCAAGGGGGTACTATGTTCCACAAACCTCTTGACTTTGTGGCAGGCATAGAAGTGCCTAGTGCGGTGGTTCTTAACCTTTGGGTCCCTAGATGTTTTGTCCTTCAACTACCAGAAACCCTAACAGCTGGTAAACTTGCTGGGATTTCTTGGAGCTGTAGGCCAAAACACCTGGGGACCCACAGGTTAAGAACCACTGGCCTACTGGTTTTGATCATGTCTAAAAGTTTTCAAAATATGCTTTCAGGAGAGAAGGTCCTAATTCTCTCCCTTCCCTCCCAATCTAATGATTGGAACAGATCTTGAGGAAGTAAATCTGATCCACCAAGTGACACTGGCAGTCCACAGCTAGGGTATGGGAACAGTGAGTTGGGATGGGTTTAGAAGCCTTAGGTGAGGTGAGAAGGATGGAGGTGAGAAGGACGGGATATAAATGTTCCAAATAAATAAATTTGTTTCTAGGGTTGCCAGGTCTCCAGGTGGTATTTGATTGTGGAAATTCTCCAGTTTTTGTGGACTCTGGACAATAGGAAAGGGCTATGTGAAGCTCTCCTGCTTAGCTCGTGTAGGGCAGTGACTTGGTATAATTTGGAAGTCTTCACTGATTGTTGCTGCAACTACAACAACTCTCCGGGAAGTCTGTATATTCACTTAGTTCTATCCCTCCTTTCCTCCCAGTCATTGTGAGTCTAGGCTCACCCACCACTCTGCTCTACAGCCACATTCTGCTTAGACCACGCCTGGGCTGTAAGGAAATGGTGGGAGTTGAAGTCCAAAACACTTGGAGGGCTGAAGTTTACCCATGCCTGGTCTAGAAGAAAGTAGACTATGTTAAATGTTCCTTATCCCATCTCCATAAAAAGTTAGAAGGAATAATTATTTTATTTTACCATTATTTGTGAATAGATTCCTGTCTTAATTTCCAAACATGAAAATATCTGTGTGAGAATGGGAAGCTTGGACTATCTGTAGTTGGTATTTCATATAGAATGCTTAGTGAGATCACCTGGGACCCTCTCTAGGTCTCAGGTTTTGGCCCAGATACTCCCAGGCATGGAAATATCCTAAACTGATGATCCTATTCCTTCTGCCTTGATCAGCAGAATCTCCAACCAAGACTTTTCACCTGTCAAAGTTTTAGACTGAACTTCTGTACATGTTTTCAGAATTTTCTTGGTAACTTTGAAAAACCAGAAGATGAGGATGAAATGAGATGGAAATGATAACAAGTTCTGTATTAAAATTCAGGGGATTCCTTACATTGCTCAGTTATTATAAAAGGGTGCCTAAGGGGAAAGAACATTTGAGTCACATGAAGATAGATCATTGCGTGAGATGGTTGCACACACCTTTAATTTTATTATTTTATTTTGTCTGAACCCAACTCTCTCATTAAAAATAGTGTATATTGGGTTATCTTTCCTTGGAGCTTTCTGGCTGAGGATGATGGGAATTGTAGCCCAACAATTTAGAGGTGGGGTCATACTGAGGGAAACTAGTCTACATACATTAGTAACTGGTGATTGACTAAAATGCACCAGAGCATGCACAATCATCACAATCATCACAAGTTCAGTTATAAGCTACATACAGGCATTATGTTGACTCCTACCTTTGGTCTCAGCATGCTATAAATAGTGAAATGCTTCTTGATTTCAGTTTACAACATGTTTGTTTCCTCTGCTCCCCTCCCAGAGCCAGCATTAGACGTGTCCCAAGGACCAATTATTCCTGGGGTAGAATCAATCAGTGTAACTGTACTCTGCAATTCTCTCCCTATGTGTGGTAGGTGGGATGATTGGTGTTTTGCATTCAAAGTTAGGCATGCACAAAGCTGTCTTCTCATGCAGATTTCTGCATACCTTGATCTTAACCCTTCATCTCCCACAGCTGTGAATGTATTATTTTATTTCCTCGCAGTCTTTTTAGCATTGTTAACTGGTGGTGTGGTGGTTTGAGCATTGGATTATGACTCTGCAAAACAGAATTTAGTTCCCTATTCAGCTCTGGAAACCCAGAAAACCTTTGAATGCATCTCAGCCACAGAAACCTCTATGATAGATTGCCCTATGGTTGCTATAGGTTAGAAACTACTTGAAATTACACAAGAACACTACAAACAAACCACTCAGGGGTGTCTATACAAATTGGAGCCTGTGTTGATCTGATTAGAATCCAGTTTGCCTTGGAAACCTCAGTTCCTTAAGAATTTTTTTTCTGGGTTCTGGTGTTTTGACTCAATTACATAGCCTTAAGTGTGAGCATATAATTGTAAAATTCTTTCTGTCTGTCTATCTGCATGATTTCCCATCAATAAAAATAAAGATAAATAAACCTGCAGTTCATATTGTATTTTTAGTTAGAAGCATATGAGAGGGCTGACTCCCAAGGTTCCTTAGGCCAGAAGAGTTTCTTTTAAACTCAGGCAGGTTTATTCTGAGAGGTAACTCACAATGTGTTTAGTAATAGTTACTGCTAGGCAAGTGTGTCAAGAACTGTAGTTGACATCTTACGTTTGTTTGCCTGGGAAGCAGCCCCATAGTGGCATTTATAAATGAATGTGTACAGGACAGTGTACTTGTACTGCAAGACTATAAGGCAGACATAACCCATGGCCTTGATATGTGCCAGAAATCGAAATGAGGACATGGATGCAATTTCAACTTCCGAGCCTCACAGTTTTTTTTAGATACATGGATTGTATGCCATGTGCTTTTCTTTTGCCACACTTCTAGGGCATTGACAGTGCACTGCTGTTCTTTCTGCACCTTAAAGACGTTGCTGTGGAAACACAAAAGGATAGGAGTTATTGAAGTTAAATACAGTTGTAGCAAAGAATTGACTCCTACAAGCGTTTGCATTTACACTTCATTCATCCTCTCTCCGCCAGTCTCTCTCTTTCAATCTTTTTCTCAGATCTCTTTTCTCCAGGGCCCCCAACTGTCTGGATTTGGCAGGCCCCAACTAATCCACCATCGTCCCACTTCTTTAGATGCATTTAAAATGCCCCAGTTTCTCTTCTCCCTTTGTTCTCAACTTACCTCCATCACTATAAACTTAATTTAAAAAGTAAAGTACTGTAGCCAGTAAATGGGAAGTGGAGGAGATGAAATGGCTGGTCTTCACTTATAGGCTCAGGCCAAAGCAAAGTGCTACAGCATCTTCTAGTTTGTGCATTCTTCTTCATTTATTACTTTTGCCATTTGACCACATGATGATGTTGCTTAGCCACACAAACTCTGGTTTTCAACTGCTAAATATTAGAATCTGTCTCCTTCAATTTATCTTTTCCTTTCTGTCACCCTCCTCCCACTCATCCCCTTTCTACATAGTGAGGAGAGAGACAGAAGTGATGGTGGGTTTTTGAAATTAGGCAAAATGCCACTTGAAATTAGGGTGGAACCAGTAGATTCCCTATGAGTGTCCTGGGAAAATGCCGAATTCAGAAATATTTGGATTTTTCTTGAGAACATCTAGCTAGTTTGTGAATTATTTGACCCACTAATGTCTTTCTTCCTCAATCCTCCAGCGTCTTCCTCATCCCCTCGGTTCAGTTCTGACTTGGAGCAAGCAAGACCACAAACTACTGGAGAAGAGGAGCTCCAGCTCCAGCTCGCCCTGGCCATGAGCCGAGAAGAAGCAGAGAAGGTAAACTTGGATTGGCATCCAGGTTTTGTGTTTGAGACCAGAGAGGGTGGGGTCTGGTGGGGATGTGGGACACCTTATACTGCAATGTCAATGAACATAGTCTTGGTTTTTTATTGGCTGCTTTTCATAAGTCTCAACCATGCAGGCATGACATTGGGAGAGGGTTTTGTGGCACCGTTGATTTCCTCTACTAGAAGTAAGGCAACCTTGTGATGGTAGCCTCACTAATGCCTAAATTACATAAGATAGGTTATGGTAGATATGCAACAATATGCAGTCACCACCTTTTTGTTGCTAATACTCTTGAAGCTTTCTCTTTAAGAAAAATTAAAGCCTCGTATTCAGAATCCCTGCAGAAGAATAACAATAATGGCAAAACCCAAGGAGACAAAGAATAAAATGCAGTGTGATTTGAAGAAAAGTTCCTATTAATAGACTTTTTCTTTCCATTTTGGCTCCAGCAGCCCACCCCTCATACCAATCGAATAGCCTCTTCCGTTACTCAGGGACATGGCAAACATTGTAGACTGGCTGTGTCTTTCTGTGCTCCCATGGACAGAGGAAATTTTCCCTAATCATGAACCTTGCGTGACTGATGCAAACGTTGTTGCTGCTGTGTGCCTTCACATTATTTTCCACATTTGGTGACCCTAAGGCAAACCTTACACAAAATTTTATTTAAAAGGTTTGTTCAGACATGGTTTGCCATTGCCTTCTTCCTAGGCTGAGAGAGTCACCAAGTGGGTTTCATGGCAGAGTGAAGATTTGAACCCCGGTGTCCAGAATTTAGTCCATTGCACAAACTGCCATATCACTGTGATTCCTCTGATGCTAGTGGTCGTTACTACATTTCAGACTACTCTGCCTTCCCTTTGCAGCCTGCAAAACTTGGAATTCCTCCCAGCCTCCTGGAGAAGTTTCTTAGCAGGCTGCAGGGGGTGGGAAGGAAAGGGAAACCTGCCTTTTCTTTATACAGTATTGAATTTCACTTGGAGACTTTAGTTGTGTGCATATTTACTTTTGAGTAAGTTGTTTGTATATTAGCTTGTGGGGTAGTGATATGAAGAAGGCTTAGGAGAAGCATCAGAAACAGAAATGAGCATGATTTATAATTATAACAAGGGCCTTTCACACTACTTAGATATAGTACTATGGTTCCATTTTAATTTCTGTGGCTGAATCCAATAGATTCCTCAGATTTGTAGCCTGGTGGAGTACTAGATGTCTCTGGCTAAAAATTCCAAATTCCAGTTTCTGAATTACATTGCAAAGCCCAAGAGACCACTGGATGCAGACATGGCATTTAAAGTGCAGCCATAGTGCTAGATTGTGAAATGTGAAAAAGCCCAAGGAAGCATCACTGAAGCAAATTGTTTCACTGATTTTCATGGCAGTTATTAAGACAAATCTTTTTCTTTAAGCAGAGTGGTTAAACATTCAATCACAACGCGAACTAGCTATGTGTGCCTATTCTACTTGAAGATCTGTGTTGATGTAAAAAGGGCTTTCTGCAATTGACTGCTGTATATCTCTTAGGGAAAGGTGAAGTGCCTGTTTATGAGCTTACACCTGCCTCATGTCATGTGTTTCTTCTAAGATAAGGAAGGAGGACAGGAGTCTTCTCTGCTGTCTCCATGCAAGCAACCATGCTTTCCATTCACAAGCCACTTTTTCCTTTAGTGTTTGAAGGGAAAGGGACACAGGCTGTGTTCACTTCTAACACCTTTCCAAATTGCAGATAACTGAATCTGGCAAAAGTGTACTGACTTTGAAGTTGTTCTTTGGTATCGTTCAAAGGACTGTGGTTTCCATCCCTTGTTGGCTTTGTACGCAGGGAGCCTTCCTATCAGCAGATCTCCTTCTCACTTTCCAGGTAGTTGAAGGATTTGTTTACATGAGGAAACACAAGATTAACTCAGGTTGACTTTCTTGTTCGAAATGACTCCGGTGACATTGGAGAAAGACAAAGCTGGTGCAGGAATAAAATGAAACAATGGCTCACCACTGTGGTTTCTCACTTAATGGCTAGAGCTTGCAACAATTTTAAAAAGCAGTTATAGTTTATTATAGTTGCCATTCCTCAATAGAAAATTGGTTAGCAATCATTATCATTAATTTATTAAAAACTTGAGTTCCTTACTATTTAAACATAACTCACCACATTACTTTCCTTATCATTACCAACCTTTGATAAAATCAATCCTAAACAGTGCAAAAAGTGCCTAAATTCTTTACAGTTCCACTGTCAAAAGAATGGCATATTTCCTCATTATGCTAAAATTGTAGCAGTGTATCTCAGTTATATTTTACCAATTAAAAAACAAGTTACTACAAATAACAAAAGCAAGTAGCTACAACTAACAAAAGTCGCTACAAGTATTTGAGTCAGCAAAGCTTGGGATATTGCTGTAATGAAAATGCGAATGGTTTTCCTCTCACAGAACAGCCTGTTAACCTTTTTGTTAATGGTTTTATAAGTGTGACTTGTTGTATTATTCATTAATCACACTCAAATGCCATTGTTATCAGTGTCCCATGGCCATAGTTAGATAAATTCTTCAAGGATTCCTGAAGAGCGTGATACCCTTCAATCTGAACTTTGTAAAGCTTACTCCATAACTGGTCTCTGACTTCCCCCCACCCCCTTGAAAACAAATCCTGGCCTCACAAAAATATAGGTGTTGCATAGTTGCATATATAGGAGCAATGGGAACCTGCCTCCCCCCCGAAAGGCAAATAGTAGAATTTCCATAGTACCCTATGGCTGTAGCATTACAGTTTCTAGGACTTTCTCTACTGGTCCTAATTCTACTATTTACTACTAGTTTCCTGTAGTTCTTTCACTCTATATAGTTATAGTAGTATGATTCTATTTTGGTCAAAGGCCCCAGAGAAGTCTCTCATTCCCAGGCAGTCATGTTAATTAAAGTGGGACTACATTACTATAAATGGGTAGAATGAAAGGGTTTACGCTGTTTACTGTGTAAGCCAGTGGTTCTTAAACTGTGGTCTGCGAGGACGAAAATCTGGTCTGCAGCCTCCTTCCTCTTTATTTGTTTAATTTCCACTCCTTTCGTGCCGCCTGCCACTCCTTCCCTGTCGCGGGCCATGGCATATGTTCTGTATCAGAAACTAGGGGTGATGTTGTCTATCCAATGCAATTTTCTGAATCAGCACCCCGAATAAACAAACTGAATCTAAAATTGACAAAAAACTGATTCATAACCCTTTCAGTACTAATATTGGAGGGTGGTCCCTGGTCAAAGTGGTCCCTGGTCAAAAAAAGGTTGGGAACCACTGGTTTAAGCCATGTACTTACAATGAGCAAGAGAGAAACTCCTATTCTTCATTTCTAGGGAGTAGAAGAAGCATTACAAAACCTTGAAAGCAATAACATTTGGTAATCACTACCACCAACATAAAGGTCCTAAATAATCTCAAGGCGACAGACTATGTCTGATATTGGAAGCTAAGCAAAGTCAGCCCTGGTTAGTACTTGGATGAAAGACATCTAGCAAATACCAGATGCTGTAGGCTATATTTCAGAGGAAATATTCCTTGCTTAAGACAACCCTATGAAAAATTCATGGGATTGCCATGAGCCAACAGGTGACTTGAAGGCACTTTCATGCACACAGCCCAAAATGAATGAATAACTAGATATACGTTACACTGCTAAAGTGTTACCTCCGAGCTCTGCAACTAGCTTCTCCTGAGCCATGCTAACTGTTTAGATATTCCATCCATGCTTTGACTGAGAGGGTCTCTCACGTGCTCATTCCTGTGAAGCCCTCCTGTCTTGCATGAATGCATAAGTTAAATACTTCATTTTCTCTCTGAACCTAATTATCACTTCCCCAGCTGGCTCCCTTTAATTTTATTTACTTCTTTATTTGCTTTGCAAGCAAAAATGTCTCAGGCTGCTATTAGATTTTTTTAAATGAAGCCTTAACCCATCAAAGAAGTCACAGTAACTCATAAATATTGCGCTGTTTCTTCTAGTCAGGAGTTAGACCTGAGAAACACATGCACAGTAAATATGGTTGAATAAACCTTTAATCTGCATATAGAATTCATCTGAATAAAGCCATTTCTGAGTAATCAAGAGAGAAAAAAACAGTATAATTTAATGTACTTCCATATTGTCTGGAAGGATGTATGACAAGTGTTGCATTACTTAGAGGAAAAGCATGATCGCTGAGAGAAGCTATACAAAATCTGTCAAAGTCAAAGTTGTATTTCCCTATCAGTGTCACATATTGAATAAATGAGACACAGCTGCTGTATCAACAAAGCATTATGGGAGAAAAAGTCCTCAGTATTGTACACCCACACCCCCGCCCAAACTCAAAGGTAAAATAGTAGTACTTATCACTGTTGCAGTGTTTCTCAACCTGGGGGTCAGGACCCCTGGGAGGGTCATGAGGGGGTGTCAGAGGGGTCATCAAAAACCACCAGAAAGCATAGTATTTTTTGTTGGTCATGGGGGTTCTGTGTGGGACATTCAGCCCAATTCTATTTTTGGTGGGGTTCAGAATGCTCTTTGATTGTAGGTGTCAAGGTCTATTTTCCCCAAACTCCACCAGTGTTCACATTTGGGCATATTGAGTATCCATGACAAGTTTGGTCCAGATTCATCATTGTTTGAGTCTGCAGTGCTCTCTGGATGTAGGTGAACTACAACTCCAAAACTCAAGGTCAATGCCCACTAAACCCTTCCAGTATTTTCTGTTGGTCATGGGAGTCCTGTGTGCCAAGTTTGGTTCAGTTCCATCATTGGTGGAGTTCAGAATGCTCTTTGATTGTAGTTGAACTATAAATCCCAGAAACTACAAACCCACCAGTATTCAAATTTGGGCATATTGGGTATTTGTGCCAAATTTGGTCCAGTGAATGAAAATACATCTTACACATCAGATATTTACATTATGATTCATGACAGTAGCAAAATTACAGTTATGAAATAGCAACAAAAATAATGTTATTGTTGTGGGGTCAGT